TTAATAACATTCAAAAGGTAACAATAAATTAAACTTTTTTTTTTAATTTCGACGAAATATATGCAGTATTTTATTATATTAAAAGGTGGCAAACGCAAGCGACCACTTCAATTCAAATACGTTGCCGTCCTTTTATCAACTAAAGAAGGGACGCACAAAAACCGTATAGAGACCGTAAATCTGTTGCAGTATAGGCTAACATAGACTTACAGAAGTAATGAAGTCCACTGTAATAACGTAGAGTCCACTCTATTTTAACTTCTCAGTTATCTATCTCTTCTCACCGCTTTCACAGTATGAAAAGTAACTAAGGTAGAGATAGGATAAAGCTAGAGAGACTAGCTGTTTCTTAGTAGTATTGTATTGTATAACAGAGACTATACAAACATATTGGTAACGAATAAAACATAATTTATTTTTAATGATTTGTTTAATTCCAATTTAATTCTAACTCAATAATAAATAAATTAATCTGCAAATCATAAAAGTGGAAATCCTTAGAAACAGTAGGTAAGACGCTAAGAATTCAATAACATGCATCATTATATATTATTGGAATTTATGTATTATAAACTGACAGGAATCAAGTTTAATTAAACCTGTCGATTAATTGATTACAAAGTTGTATGGAAATATCCAAGGGTTATGTTACAAATGTAGATTTCTTTTATTAAAAACATTTAATTTATTTAGCGCCATCTTTTAAAACCATTCTGATTGATTCGAGTTTGAAGATATAAACTTATAACAACATGTTACATTGTAATGATTAAGTTCAATGCAATATAGATGGCGCTGTTGTTATTTAGTAGAAAGCGTGATAACGCCTGTTATTTTCCAACAGGCAATATTTAGTTTTCGATTGTTAGATGCCAATTCTCTGAAGATATTCATTTATCAACTTAACTAGAAACTGTCATTCGCTCTTAAGAAGTTTAATTTAAAAAAAAAAAACTTAATATTAATTTTATTTTAATGTATTAAATTTAATTAAACCCATTTAATTTCTTCAGTTTCAATTAAAAAGTATCTGGACAAACATCACTCTACCTCATTTTTTTTCATGTTTAAACTTCGATGTCTTATTAAAATAATTTGTAATATTTTCAATATAGGACATATTTTTTAAGATAATTTAAATTAGCTGTCGTTGTTATATTATCTATGTCCTACAAAAATTTGGGCATGCCAATAGGCAATTAAGCGCAATTTTTAGAAAAATAAATATTGATTTAACGATAAAATAATTATTATCAGCTTATGTCCTAGTCTAAATATATATTTATTATTTATATAAGTAAACAGGTAATTAGTTCGTGTGAGTTTAGTTATAAGCCACAGTGTTTTCTAAATACGTTAATTGTGTTATTTAAATATTTTTTTTAACGCAAGTTAATGAAAATTAAATTCCGTATTTTCACATTTTCATCAACAATCTCAGTACCTATTGGTTTCCAATTATCACCTGATATCAAGGTTACTTTTTAGCCCACTGACCGTGTGAATTCACCTCCAAGTTTTTGCTCTACTTTCGATGCGACTTTGCTAATTTTAGCGTATTTACGTGTTAACAAGTTAGTTCATAGTAGTATATTATGTTTATTGCTTAATTGACCATTGCTCATATTATGGCTATACGTTTGATGGCTAATTCGATTAGTCTAAAATCATATTAAGACTATTGACCAGTTGATATAAGGATCAAAGAAAGCGCATGTGAAGTTTGGACGTTGGATAATATTATACGTGGCAGTGATCACTTATGCGTCATTTGTTTGTCCCTGAATCTTAATATATAAAATGGGGAGAGATTGTGTTACTACTAAACTGTGAACTACTTAACAGACTTGACGATTTCTTTAACTATTAAGATGTTAAACTATTCCCGTGAAGCATTAGCTTTATTACTAGATTATTTTTTAATTCCACGTGGACAAAGTCGCGGGCAACTGCTAGTTTACAATATATCTCGTTTGGTAGATGTTGCAAAATTCTAAACACGCCCTTATTGATAAATCTATTATTATATTTACAACCATTATGTAAGTGTTACAATTCTACCGAAGCTTGACGGCCTAGTATACGTGACTATTCTTTGTTTATTTTCCTTGGCCGTGTTATACGTTCAAATGAATATTTTTCTCTGAATTCTATGCATTTTTATTGCATTGCTAGTATCAAATTCCTTAATCAATGTTTTTTTAGCTTTGGAAAGTTATGATTATAATATAACTATTTAAAGCGCTTATAACTGATATATGTAACAACATTTATTAAGATACTAGTTGTCGCCCGCGACTCCGTCCCCGCGTTTTAATAAAAATAAAAAAAAATAGTAGCCTATGTGTTGTTTCAGGTTATGTTTCTACATTATGCCAAATTTCAGCTAAATCTATGCTCCCGTTCTGGAGATACCTTTAAATAAACATCTATCCATCCATCCATCCATCTTATCATTCGCTTTTATAATATAAGCAGATTTGATTATAATTGTTGTTTTCAAACCATGACACTGTATGCTTAAATTTATTATTAATTTATATTTTAAATTAGTTTGATCCAGTGACATACAAATAGTTTCATTGTATTTGTTTTCATTGTACAACGATTATAATTACTTATATCATTATGTAGTAATAACAAAGTACATAAGAAGAGAAATCTATGTCTGTATTGACAAGTTAATTATTTTAATCAAATCACTCTATCAGATGCAATATTTTGTAACAATTTTTATTTTAAATATATACATGTATACAATAATGTACAATAATGTTTATTCTTAAATGCATTCAACTGCATCCTGTATATAACGGTATGAGCGAGCTCACTAATTTGCTGTAATCAAAAAAAAAACCTACTGTTTTATTTCATAGCGTAGTACCAAAGTGTCTGGAAAAACCCGCAATGGGTTTATAGATACTTTTATTGTAATGTGTATATTGTTCCTTGTTTATATAAGTAAATAAAAAAAAACTATACAAATGTGTTGGTTATTTAGGAAACAAACAAAAGGCAAAATAGATGATAAAAAGCACAATGGTTAAAGTTAAGTCACTAAGTATTGAAAATTTAAATATATTTTTAAGGTATTAGGATCGAAATCAATGGGTTAGGTATTCAAAGGCAATATAGTGTTAGTATTAGAGCTATATATTATTCTAAAATAAGTTACTACGTCATTACTTCAATTGGTACAAATACCAAACGTTTATGTAAGCTGTTTAATAGTCTCTTTCGTAAGTCATCCTACAGACAGCGATAAAAGTAGATTATTTAGTAATACAAGTTTCTAACTATACAATTAAACCCTCAACATACCTAATACATAAACAAACATACTGTTATATCTAAAAATAGTTACAAATAATTATGAATTTCCATTACAGGAACACCTTGATAAAAACTATTATGTCGGAGTTTTCAAAGAGAGTAGAACGACATACTGTTTTTATACAATTTCTTTGACAGTGGCAACTTTAGTCTCAAACTTCGAAACGTAATAAAAAATTACTTGCCGATATTCACATGTCAGCGTAAAAGCGTATTGTAGTGTGCATAGATCTTTATAACGTTTATATTTCAAATGTGACGAATCAGCTCATTGTGTTCTATTTTTAGTACGATGATATTCGCTTTTTAGCGAATTAAAAGTGAAATGACAAATAAAAAATTGGCTCTAAATGATTTAACATTTCGAATAATTTTAAAAATGAAAAAAACATAAGTTAAATTAATTTTCATAAAAAAAGAAGAAAAAGTATAGCTACATAGCTTAATATGCATATTATTAACTTGCTTCCTGTATAGTCAGTCATATTTCACCCGATATATTTCGCATAACCGTATTATAAGATAACATAAAATTATTAATTTCCTTTCAGCTGCTCTGAAGAAATGATAAAGTAGTTTATGTAAAAAAAAAATTATGATTCATGAAAAGACTTCAAATTCACTTATGGCAAAGAAAAATTACACACAATTTCTGATGAGATGAAATTTCTGCCTGGATAATTATTGCAACTTTACTTTTGTAACATGACTGCAGAACGTAATTTACAATACGACAGAGGCTTTTAAACTATTGTTAGCGTTTCATTATATTTAATAAAAAAGTTATTGCTTTAAAAGTATTTAAGTAATATAATTACGTAACATATGAAACAAAAAGCAGTTTTAAGATCAGTAAAGTGATTTTGATTATAACCTATGCGGTATTTTGAAATAATTTTAATAACACTCAATAACAAACATACTATTTTCATACAAAATCAAAGTTATGCTACATAATTTTATTTGATACTAGCTGTCGCCTGCGATTCCGTCCGCGCGGGATTATAAATAGATTTTGGTCGATTCTCAAACCTACTCAATATGCTCACAAAATTTCCTGAGAATCGGTCAAGCCGTTTCGGAGGAGTATGGGAACGAAAATTGTAACACGAGAATTTTATATATAAGATTACGATTTCTTTTTAATTCAACTTTAAATCCATAAATTAAGAAACATTTAGGTGAAACTAAACATGTCTAAAAAATAAATACAACATATACTAAATATTATCAGTAAGCGAGTCTAACATCTAATATAAAGATTGATCCAAACTGATTAATAATCAGAGTTTTTCTCCAATATCTTTTTTTAATAAAGCGGCACAAAAGATTTTCGATGAAGCATCAACTAAGGTTCTCGATAACAATAAAATACACTGCTCACGAGGTTTTCTTTATTCTATGACCTTAATCGATTTACCAAACAATATCGAATATTTAAACTACTATAAAGTGTCATTATTAGAATTTAAAAGATTAACTAACTAGTTAAGTTAAAATAAATATTTAAATAAAATGTATCTGAATAGTAATTTTTCTACAGGCGCTAGTATATGGGATTTAGATTGGAGCAAAGAGGATCACGTTTACGAATAGGCGTATGCTAAGAGGTGGTGTAACCGAGCATTATTTCATATAAATAGTGTGCAGTTTATTTTGTGAGGCACAGTGTCAGTTCAGCTCCTGTCAGCGTCGCTGAAGAGGACGAAAGTGACCTACTGTGATAAAAACATAATGCGTGCTTTCCAAGTAAGTGCTATAAGTAACCATAAAAACAAAAACAAAGAAAAAACTTTAACCGGTGACTAGCTGTCCACATTCACTCTCGTTTAATAATCTATTTAATTTAATGATAATAAGAGTGGACACCCTTAGTGATCCTTGTTATGTAAAATCTATACTGAGGTACTGCTTAAATTATCTATAAAAAATTCTAAGAATGGCAGTAAAATATGTTTAATTTGTAATAAAAGATTTAAAAGTAGACATAAAAATAAATTTATCCTCTTTTAAAAATTATTATGTGTAAATAAATATTTTTGAGAGTAAATAAATAGTTCCTTAAGTTTTCCTTTAGTAATAAACAACCACATTTACATGTTGTTAGGTAAGTAATCTTACAAATTATACACCAGCTTAGTTTTCCGGACCAATTTCATTGATATTACTAGTCTAACGACCTAAATTGTAATACGGTATTATATAAATGAGACAGTTCACTAAGCTTTTTTTACACGACTATATGAATATTATGTTTATTGTACCTTTTTAAAACTAAGGGTGTAAGTATATCGTTTGAATCGAATATTAATAAACGATTCAACATTTTTTTTTTCTTTCAATATCGATCAAAAAACGTATGATTGACTTTTTCAACTACATAAATGTTCAACGTATCAAAGTATATTTTGATACCTAAATACTCTTATGTTAAAGGTGTTGGTATTGGTTGCGGTCTGTGTCGCTGCAAACGCAGGCTACATTGGCTACGCTGATGCAGGTTATGGGGGGCTTCAAGGATACTCGGATGGAGGATACCAAGGAGCTGATGACGGACATGCCGATTATTACGTAAGTTTTATATAATATGTTTAATTAGAGCATAAACTAAACCTATGTACTAAAAGGGAAGATGCTAATATAAAAGCCAGCTATTGGTTTTATACGATAAGCGTTGAAATCTTTTGCTTTTGTCATGAAATACCTTGGTACAAAAGATTTCAACGCAGTAAAGTCTTTTAGTGGCGCCATTGCAATAAAACAAGGTAATTAAGTAAGAAAGCTCATTGATCTCATCATTTCTCAAAACAAAATGCAATTTTTAAAGACTTGAAATTTATTGTTAATCTTTTTCTGTTTCAGGCTTATCCCAAATATGCCTACGATTATTCTGTAAGTGACCCACACACTGGAGACCACAAATCCCAGTGGGAGTCTCGCGATGGCGATGTTGTTAAAGGTGACGCAGAATAATGAATAAAGTGAACGTATTTTAATAAATAAGAATTGCCTTAGCGAAACTATATTTTTAATAGTATTGCCATTCATGTAATATTTTTTTTTTATTTTTAGGTGCATATACATTAGCCGAACCAGATGGCACCACTCGTATAGTAGAGTATACCGCTGACAAACACAACGGATTCAATGCAGTCGTCAAGCGTATCGGACACGCTCAACATCCACAAGTCTACAACACACACAATGACGGTGCTGGTTACTACGGATACCACTAGATGGCGCTATTATAAAAAATAGTCTCACTACAGATAGTGATGTACAAATAAATAACTACAAACTTCGTATGTGTATCGCATAATTGAAAAATGTTTCAAGCATTTATAATTATGCGATATTTGTATTTGTAAATATTCCTGCCATCTGATACCTATTTATTCTTGTTTATTAGCATGTAAGATTTTGACGGTAAAATTGTTGCTGTTCTTTAAGACCAAAACAAAATATATAATTTGTAATACATAATGCTTTTTATTCTGATCAAATAATGCGGTTATTCTGAATAATTTCCTTTTAAATTCATCATTATTAAATAGAAAGGCAATCGATCAATATTTAATAATTAGGTATTAAATATTCATCGACGATCATTTTTCAAATCCAAACGGTAAGTGTTAGAATTATTCAAACGAAACCAAGTTGCGGGGAAATTTAATTCAAGTATTGTAACTAATAGATAACAAAATGCCGCATTATTAATCTTGTCAACACTTATAAATTTTCCTCTATAAAGAAAGTTATTCTTCGTCAAGACACAATGATTAATTCGACTAAGTGATATATATTTTTTACATAGCATTAGAAAAGTATACGGTCATTGGTCCTTCAATAGATTCTTAACATGTACGTTACTTTAACAATATGAAGATTTATCGTTATATTTAATCTGACTATCTATTCCGGGTGTATTGTTTTAGGTTTTCACTTCAAGTAATTAAAGTTAATTATAATGACATTAATATAATGACGTTAATTAAGTTTTTACATTTTAAGATGTTACACACTAGTTAAGTGTAAAGTAGGTATTTATATTTGTATGTTTACATACTTACACGATATTTAATTTAAATGGAATCAATTATTTCTATTAGTTTTCATTATTTTTTCAAAAGCATAAAGATAATGTTAGGACTCCGAATTAATATTATAATATTAAAAGTCCTTGATAATTTTTAATTTGCATTTTTAAAATGTAGCAATTAAACAAAAAGATTTGGATTTTTTTATTATTTTTTCCCTATATAGTTATCGATCTGGGCATACAATGGTACCGGGATATCGTTGAATTTTGGGACACGCTATATTTTTTTCTTCTAATTGTTCAACGGCTACTACTGTTACACATTTACTTTAACATATGAATGACGTAAATCAACTTTATTAATTGTATTAAATAAAGGCATTCCTGTTCAATAAACATTGCTCATATTCATAGTGTGTGTATCATTTGCGCTGCCATAGCCCGGGCGGTGCGAATGTGTGCGTTTATAAATAGGTAAGTGGTGGTCGACACGTCGCGTCTTCACGTAGTCCCGACCTTGGAAATGGACAAGTTCACACTCATTTAATTTAAAAAAATAAAAAAGTTAAAAAAATATCTGAATTATTTGTGGCAGTGAACGGCGTAAATTATACAAAGTGCATGACGGAGTTTATGGAAACGCAATGGCAAAACCGTTTGCTTTTTTGGTAAGCTCTATATTATTACGAGTATTTTTTTGTAAATGTAGTCTTAACTTTTATATTTCTTCGAATAATATCGTACGAAGGTGACATAAATTAACTGTTTATTTAGATTTTTTAGTATTTTTAATTATTCCGTAATTTAATTAATGTAGTGAACTGTAATTAAAAAATCGATACAGACTATTAAAATTCAATAGTATAATAAGGAAGAAGGAGTGGTCCGTCGTACACGACAATAATTGCTTAATTTGCAATAGTTCCGTAAAATTAACATGACTTTTTCTACATTTTAGGTACTACTTATAAATTTATCAACATTAAAAGGGGAAAATGCATTAATAATTAGCAATGACAATATAGAAAACCTCCGTAAAACTGATGTAAGTACAATCTTGTTATTTTAAAAGTTTAAAATTGTTTTGAAATACTTAAGAAAATGTAGAAAATAAGCAAGAAATTCAAGCAATTTCTACATAATTTAAAGAAGAATAATTATAATGTTAGGTACAAAATTTTGAGATGTATATTAAGTATTTATCCAACCCACTTTTGTGTTTTCAATGTGCGTTTAGGTTTTAGTAATATTTATAAGAAGCAATTCGAAATAAACTAACCGTTAAGAAAATTATCACGAATTTAATTTGAGCTGTACTGGTAATCTATATCATTGCCGTTTTGCATAGTTTTATATGGGATACACAATTTAGGAAAACAAAGCGTTAGTGTCCTATCTTAAAGATTTAAATGAGGAATAATATGTGGTAATATAAGCCTAATGTACGGCGCCAAATGTCGCCTAATTCCCTGTCAGCCCTTCTGGGTTAAGAGCGTGACTTATGTAGTAATGATATTATTGTAACTATCTGTGTATACTTAAACTTTTTTTACCTCGGCATAAAACCAGTTATTATTTAAAATTGAAATTTTATAATATTAAAATTAATTATTAAAGGAAAATGTAAAATACTTTTACTTAATTGTATTCCATTTCATTTTCTTATAAAAAGGAACGTTAAATTTTCTCCAACGTAAACGAGCGAGGAGAGACGCACACGCAATGTGTCAATGACGTATTCCGATTTAATTGTTTGGAACGCACTCGCACTTGTATCAGATGCTGACGAACACATTCAATAGAATATTTTCTAATATTATAACATTTCTCGTGTTTTTATATACCTTATGTATTGTCCATTTGTTTATTGTACATCAAGGAATGTATGTGATTCATTTTTACATAAATATTATAGATAAAATTCTTAATAGTGTTGTAACCTTTGTGAATCATCGATATTTTTTATTTATATGATCTGAGACCATAAAGCGCCTATCCGATATAAAATAGTTGTAGTTATAAGTACTAATATTTATTGAAAGTCCGTACTCTAGTTACGAAACAACTGATAAAGTGTTCGAGTACTAGTGTTGTTCACCCACTTTTCTCTCAGCGAGCGGTAACTTATTGCGTCGAAGTAAAAGTAATTTACGCACTGCATTATATATAACTTATCGAGATTGTAGGTTACATTGCCAATCACAAAACAATAAATGGATGATGTTGCAATTTAATGAGATAAAAATAATTGAAGGACGCATTAGATTAAAATCTGGTAAAAATAAACAATGTATGTACATAACACAGAGATTGCCAATATTCATATGACTTAATCCTTTCACTTCTTTTGTTAAACTTTCTCGTCGGATATACATATATATAGCTTATGTATATTAAATTTTATCCTTTTTAAAATGAAATGAATCCATTTACATTTAAAATACCCAATCATGTTAATTACTTTCTATTCATAGTTTACAGCATTGATTAGAAGTTGTAGATATTTATTGTAGATGCTTGAAAGTAAACAAATGAAAGTGAACGTAAATCCGACATTGACATTGTAAATCGCGATGCGCTCACTTCATGCCACGCCATCTGTCATCTTGAACTTGTAGGACTGCCGCGAAATAACTTTTAAAGTAAACTAATACTTCTATGCTTTTAATGTAAAAATCTAATTATTTAGAGACAAAAAAGTGTAGTATTTTCAATTGATTTAAGTTTGAAAAATGGTAAACGTCTGATAAACTCTTAAATTTTATGCAAGACGGCAATCTGAGAAATCGAATAATAAAGTAGATAGGTACCCGCGTATATAAGTGTAAGTGCATACTTGGTACAGTATTATCTGTAAAGATTTATTTAAAGATATTTCATTGGTCTCGTACAACACCATAAGACAACAGCAGGTGCTTATTTCACATTGCCCGTGCTGGTTATGTGACCGGTTTATATACTGCACAGCAATTGATTTAAACGCAATATTGAAGTGACAGATTATGTTCTTTAAATTATTAATCATGTTAATATTATAAATGCGAAAGTTTGGATAGATGGATGTTTGTTATTACTAAAGATAATAAAATGCAATACTAGTACGTATCTTCAAAAGGGCTTAACGGATCTCCGTGGCAATTGGTACAGGTGTGGAACGTTGTGTGGAAGAACGCATAGTATATTTACTAAGTGATTTTTTTTTCATCTGTGCGGACAAAGTAGCGGGTAAAACCTTGTACAGAATACAAGCTACACCTGAGGTTATTTAAGGATTAATATTTCGTAAATTTCCCGTACATAAATATTTATGTTACCTTACATAGAAAACGAAAGAAATATCTTTGTCTCCGTAAACGTATGTGTGGGCAAAGTGTGTGTTATTGTACATATTTAGTGACATTGTAATATAACAAAGTAACCTGAAAAATTATTTAGTTTTCCCCTTTCATTTACCTTTCATTTAGTTACATTCCAACATCATGGAAATAATTAAATGACTCATTACGGATTCAGAATAATAAACAAAGACAGGCGAGCATGCAATGCATTTTCATAATGAGTAAAATATCGAATTTTCACACGCGAGGTATATTATTTATGCCCCGTGCGTTTTTTTACTATCAAAGACGTAATTAAGGCGCAGTAAATAATTATGATTAAAGAGTACTAATTAAGAATTTATTTCTTTTTTTTTCAGGAAGGTCGAAACTATGCGTTTTCTTACGGAGTCGCCGACGAGCAGACGGGAGATGTCAAAACAGTATGGGACGCTAAAGATGGTGATAGTATTAAAGGTGAATATTGATATTTCTATTTGAAAATTTTATAATTGGAAATTTATAAAATTATTTAATTACAGGTCATTACAACGTGCTAGATGCGGATGGCGCTGTGAGAACTGTGGAATATACAGCCAGCCCTGGTGAAGGCTTCGTCGCGTCCGTCAACAAAGATGGAGTCAAATCGCAGCCGGATAAAGAACAAAAAGTTATGGAAGACAAATCATACAGAGATTATAACAGACCTTACGATCTTTCCGACGACCCAAACTATGAATTTCATTATTCAAAACATAGAAAGAATAAGATACGTCCTTACGATCTTTTTAAAGATTATTCAATGAAACGACCTAGTTATGCTCATTCTGACGCAGATTCTGGTGAATTCCAATATAATCCATCAATAAAACCCTATTACAACGGTGAGCCTTATAGAAGCACGGGCTACGGACATGATCCTGATTGTAATACTAAATATGTAACCGAAGGAAGCAATTACTTTAAAACTTTAACCGATTTAGATTTTCGTAAACAAAAATATCCTTTATTATATTCAGACCCATACACCCAGGAGAAATATAAAGACATGCCTTATGATGATTCAGACAAGTACCTGAATTATAAGTATAAAGGTGAAAATAAGTCACCGAGACCTGAAGAAA